TGATGGGCTAGTTTAAATAACAGAAGAAACAACTCGTCAGGCTTAGCCTTGCATGGAGAAAAACCATGAATTATACAAAGTACTCTATATATTTATATATATCTGAATATTAAATTAACATTTATATAACAAATAGTTGCCAAACCTAGTTTTGTAGGCTGCGGACTACTGTGGCTAAGTGCTGCTGCTAGCTGAAACGAGCAAGCTCATAATAATCTTTTTTCTTTGGGTTGCATTGCAATCTATGAGAAAATACTTGCTACAATTATTCAAATCTGTTCAAAGGCAATCTAGTCCTAGCCTGAACCTGTTCAATATTCAGAGTTTCAGACTATGAAGAAAAAAGAGCACTGCGCCGTGCTTGCATCCTCATGCGCTGACGCTGGCTGAGTGTCAACAGCGATCTACTTACTCAAGTAATTAATATACTAATAGGAGTATTATATTATGCGGAGAACTATTATAAAATTCTCTGGCTGCTTTAACGCTCCATGCATGTGATCGATCGATCGATTATCTGTTACTTCTTGTTAGCTTCCATCTGCATCTAAGGCCTTGTTTAGATCCCGATTAGAAATCAGTATTTGACACTGTAGCACTTTCGTTTGTATTTGATAATTATTGTCCGATCATGGCCTAACTAGGCTTAAAAGATTCGTCTCGTAATTTACAATCAAACTGTGTAATTAGTTATTTTTTTATCTATATTTAATACTCCATGCATGTGTCCAAAGATTTGATGTGATGGAGAGAGAATAAAAAAACTTGCAATCTAAACAAGGCCTAACATCGATTCTTTATAGATTAAAAAAAAACATCGATTCTTTATTTTATTATTATCGTTGTACTGCGGACTGGAACTCAGGTGGCGTATGTATTACCAAGAGTCCAACACCATTTGCTCAAAGCAACTTCCGTGTTCCGTATCTCACAAGTTGTTGATGCGATCGAAGTACACGGAGTTAGTTCATTAGGAGCAATCATGATTACAAAAAGATGTCTGAAATCATGTGCACTATTTTCAGTTTAGTTTAATTAATTTATATACCAGTTGAAACGAGTCCAAGCTCTAGAATGGAGAGGATCATTTTCATATACATGAATATTTCCACACGTTGCACATACGGGTTGTTAGATGTGTATATATTTAGGGTCTAACACGGTTCCATTTCAGCAGCAGCAAGCAACATGTCAACATCGGCCATGTGGGAACTGGGAACCAAACGGCAGCCATCACCCTCAGGCCTCAGTTGCATCCTAATCTGTAATCATACACGATTTGTCTAGTCAAGAACAATCCACACCTCAGTGCAGCAGGTTGTCTTGCTGACATCTGCATGCATCATCTTCATCTGTAGCTTTTTTCCCCCTCCCAAATCACTGTGCTGGCAGCAGCAGCGGTATAATTCGTGGAAGCTTCCTACACAGAAAAATAAAAAAGACATGCCCATTCACGGCGACCGTACGGGAAAATAAAAGGGAGTTTGAAATCATCCTACTCACACAATCATCCTACTCACACTCCTAGATTGAAAATTGAAATCCATCCGTGAAATGGAGTATTTGGTCATCCATCTCCACCGACAAATTTATTTATGCCAGTTTGTTCAAGCTGTCAGGTGTGTCCAAGGCATTATTAAATATACTAGTGTTTCACGTTCATTTGAATTGACGATCTTTGAGGTTTCGTGTTTGATTTTGTTTTTACACTTTGCGAGACCTCAATCTCTTCAAAGTTCAGGTGGCGTAAAAAGATCATTATTACAAGAGTTCCAACACCATGTCCTTTTTTATTAGTAACTGCGGTCACTAACAAGACGGCTTATTCGGGCTTCTTTTTTCAGCTGGAGCAGTGTTTTTCTCTCACAACGTTCCAGCATAAACAGTAAAAACTTCATACCAGCCGAACACTGCCAATGGTTGATGCGCAGCGCACGCCTCAAATCTGAATTAGAATCAACGTTCACAAATATATAGAAGTAGTATTTCGGGACCCCTTTCCTACGAAGCTTCATTCTGCTCATTTCATCAGATAAAATTCAGTCTGAATTTATGTGCCCTGTTTTCGCTAGGGTTTACCAGTAGACGCATGCAAGTCCGTCCGTGATCAACACAACTGATCGAGAGCATCATTTTCTGGTCTTACCTTCTTATAGATCAAGATGAATTCCAGAGGGGGTCCATTTCAGCAGGCAGCAGCAGACATGTCAACATCTACACACATGGGAACGAACAGCAGCCACGCAGAGCTTCAGTTACATACTAATCATCATCATCATCATGCAATTAAGCTTGATTTGTCAAGAAGGATTAATCACATGATCAGTCAAGAACGATTCGTACCTCAGTGTAGTAGGCTAGTAGACTAGGTCGCCTTGCTGACCTGTGCGCTCATGCTTCGTCAGTTCGTCTTCTTAAGCATAATTCGTGGAAGCTTCTTACGCGGTAAAGGCCGGCTTTGCCCGGTCAGGAGTACTGCACTGCACGGCACGTGAAACATATACTTGGTCCTAGACTCCTAGGCCTTATATACAAGCATTTCTTTTTGTTCAATTTTAGACCAAAGACCATTGATCCCGCTTTATACAAAGCAAAGGTTCAAGGTTTGCTGGGGTAAACAGTTTACAAGAGAAACAGCACAGTGCTCAGGAACTTCCCCTCTAAACTGATAAAAAAGAGAACGAGAAACCAAAAGAAAACCCGTCCAAAAGAGCGTCAGTACATTATAGCAAACTTTGATAAAAAAAAGCTAAATAGTTTTCACCGATTGCTTGATTGCACCAAGTGCCATGATAACCTCTTTGTTGCCGTCGTCGTCCAACTAACTTTCTCTTTTTCCATGAGTAGGATCCTCCATTTCTGCATAAAAATGGTTTATCGGTGTACCACAAAATCAGGATGGGTAACAATTTTGTTGTTAAAAACATAGTCATTAACTTTTTTGTCTTTTTGTTTCATTTGATTCGAATAGGAGGACATGCTTGTCTTTCATTGTTTTTCCTCCTCGCAGACCAAAGTTTTTCAAAGCTTAAAATATGTTCATGCACATGATGCTGTGAACGGTGCTTCCCCTTGTTCTATTTACATTAATGTCAAATCTTTTTAAGAAGAGGAATAGCCAAATAGACGTGAAAAAATTGTTTCCTATTCATTTCCTTCCATTTCCTATGGAGTCTGGTTTCCCTATGATAAACGGGGTAGTTTTCCCTCACTTTCCGTTAGACTTATGGTAAAAAAAAAAACTGTTTTGATTTGCTGCAATATCATAGAATAATTATGCATTATCAAAAAAAAAATTATTAGATATGGCATTTTGGCCAAAAGGATTCTTATCTTTTATTATTATATATTATTATTTGTGTGTATGTGAGAGTTTCCACCTTTGACTAAACACCGCATTTGTTTAAACTCATGAAGATGAAGAACAAGAGAAACTCATGATATAAAAGTGGGACCACCCAAACGAAGATATACACGATTTACAAGAGGTAGCTGGTGGTTGTCTAAAAGGGACTAGTGATATTGTTATCAAAATTCACAAATATTTAAAATCTCCAATATTAAAAATAGTACACTTAAGATTCAAAGATAAACAATTTTTTTTACTGATTTTCAAGAATGAGTAACTTAGCCACATAATAGCTTTCGAGTGTTATCTGAAAGCAAGAGTTCAGCTGAAGAACACTTGAAATGTGACTGGACCCTATATGTATGGAGCTATAGGAGTGGATAACAAGCCAGTGAAACTTTTTATCGAGTTTTCTTCAAAATCAATTTACTATTAGTTATTATGTCCTTTGTGTTGTTTAATTTGAGGCCCAATGTTATATCGAGCCAAGAGCCAACTGAATTTCATTGAAATAAGCTAATTTTGATTTTAAAAGAAAAATGGTGCAGTTGGAGCAATTTGAAACAAGCTACAAATTCAATGAGTTTCTCGTCCAGCCCAGCCCAAATTCAACGGATGCTTCAATGAGTTTTTCGTCCAGCCCAGGCCCAAATTCAACGGATGCTTCAATGAGTTTTTTCGTCCAGCCCAGGCCCAAATTCAACGGATTTTTGGTTAAAGCAAGAACTACTGTCCTTTCAGAAGTGATGTCTACGAATCTGCCGATGAATTCCACTAGTTTAGACAGAAGTATCGTGACTCCGTGAGCCTTTTTGCCTATGCTGAACTGATTATAAATCAGGGCAGATACACTGCTTCCCAATTATTAGTACTAGTACTTTACAATTTGCCAAATTGCAATCATGCGGGAGAATGGAAAGAATTCTTTCTTAAAATAGAATGAAAACAATTGTAACAGCCTGTTCTCCTTGTCTAGTCTCAGCTTATTTCAGCTTATTCTCTCACAGAATACTATTGAATCAGCCGAACACCATTGTATCTGGACAACATCATTATCCTTCTTCAATAATCTGCGACCACACATGTAGCATGTCTGTAAGTGGGGCCAAGACAAGTACAACTGGGGAAACAAGAATAGACCCTGTAAAGAGAACTGGGTTCTTCTAAACTTCAGCATAGGCAGTGACTTCTCGAATCACAGCGACAGATAACAACATGTTTCAATCAGGTTGGGTACAGCTGAGTTGACAAATTTGCAATTACATAGGTTGCCTAATTTGGTCCGATCTATCTCCTCCACAAAGAAGCCCAGAACTATATAAGAACGTCCTACAGCCCAAAATGACCATCCACACAACATATACAACAAGGTAGTACATTCAGTTTCATGGAAAAAAAAAACACAAATGACATGAAGAGTTTCTGAGGGACTTAAGATGTCAGAGCATCCAACATGGTAGCCTACATTAGACGGCCCATGGATTACACAGACATATATGCTACAATTTCCACCGCCAACACTACATAACACCTTTGAAATCTTATTAGAACATCAAATAGATGCAAATCCTACGTTGAACAATTAAGCGAGATACAAACAGACTGTAGACAGCTTTGGATGCCCATTGTCTTGGAGGAATGACCGCCCAACCTAGACTGCAATGTCATGCTGAATGTGTCGGAGTAAGACAGGGATTACAATGTCTGGAGAGCTCAGCTGGGGGAGATGGCCTTCAGAGGGCATCACCTCCACAATGGAGTCGCCACCAAGGTGCTTGTGCAGGTACTCAGACACCACAACTGGCACCGCGAGATCCTTGGTGCTCTGAACAATGTGGCATGGGACACTAACAAGAGGGAGGAGGCTGCGCACGTCGCTCTGGAAGATCGTCTGGGCAACACTAAGTGCAATGTCCGGACGTATATTGAAGAGTGTCCTGCTAAACTCCTGAACTGCCACTGATTCCATATCTCCTCCAACACACAGGGGTGCAAAACCTGAGCACCAGGCCTTGTAGTTTGATTGCATCGCCTCAAACAGCTCATCGAGCTCATCTTGCTCAAACCCACCATAGTAGTCCACATCATTGAGGTACCTATTTGGTCAAAGACAGTTGAATAGGTGAGAGTAAATAGAGGATGCAGTTAATATGTAAACAAAACAAGAAAAGATAGAGGAATATGGAGATTCAAAGAGCACCACTGATTCAAGAACAAAGTCCTTCTGGGAGAAAAAAAATGTATATTTCAGATTTTCAGATGATGTTCACTGCACTAGATGACAAACATGGTCTTCAATTGCATTTCAGTGGAAGGTGAACTGCAGAATTCAGATAATGTTCACTACCCTAGTATCTTTTCATCACAAAGGATTCATTATATAAAAGAATAAACTTATCAAGTAGCAGAAGTGAAATTCATTTCTAGGTTTTACAAAATCAAAGGAAGGTTCAGATGAAGCTGTGCCTTGAGACAAAAATGTGATTTAATGCCACTGAAACCTAACTTTATTGCAAAGAACACTGGCATGTGCCATCATACTATAATCATATAAGGAGGGGCTATCCTAGAGCAATATGACGTTAATTCATAGATCAAATGCCCAAGCTTCACTATGATCTGAGTTTTGTTGCAAGACGATCAGCTCAGAGTAACTTCAGAAAAATGACCCTAATCACATTTGGAAATTAGTACACATGTAATTTTTTTCTCGAACACGCAAGAGAGCTGTGTATCATTGCATTAAATACACATGTAAACCGCATTGTTCTTCAAGAGAATTGCAGTTTAGAACCACTGCCGGAACTATAAATGTATCAGGGTCTCCCCTGCTGTATTTTCGGGTCAAAAATAAATAAATGTGTCAGGGATTCAAGGCAGGCTATAGGGGGCATGGCACTATGGGTTCAACATGAAACTTCAGTATTTCACTCAAGTAAAATGTGGAAACTGTGGATTACTCAATACAAATAGAAGGCCAAGAAAATTATTACGAAGGTTTATATCTGTTGTAGCCACGTAAAATCTGGAACTTCAACTATGATTCAGGGATCTGTTAGAAACAACTCCTAAGAGTTTGCTAACAGCGCAAAATCAGTTTCCACACATCCCAAGTTGTTAATGTCTCCTTTCAAAAACGCACAATCTATATTAAATGAAAGGAAAGGGCCGTTAGTGGGTTTTCAGGAAAATGGGACATGAGACAGAGAGCATTCTAAAAGGATTCAGTTATTGCATTACACAATAAAATGAACTTCAAACATTACCGTATCAAGAAGTGTACACTCTACTTAAATCATAGATCTAATCCATTTGATTTTCCCATTCCGTTTCTATGTGAATAAAATGCTAGGATGAAAGGATTAAAAGAACGTGAAAATTTGTAAGCTTGCCGCGACAGTGCTGTAAAAGGAAGAACATAATTTTACAAACATACAGAAAAAATTGATAACTGACACTTTATTTCAAGACCATAAAATTTCCCATTTCATAATCTACTTTTGCATTGATTTCCATAAAAACTTTGGAAGGGCCAGTTCTCTGTCTTGACATATAAACTATCTGTGTTTTAACTACATATGTGTTTTTATGAGCACTGTACCTGAAGTATAATTAAAAGTATAATAAAAGAATAAAAGATTATCAGCAACACTTTCTTTTGCGGTATCTTTGGTGCAAGCGGTAGAGTCTTACCGCCTGTGACCGGAAGGTCCCGGGTTCGAGTCGCGGTCTCCTCGCATTGCACAGGCGAGGGTAAGGCTTGCCACTAACACCCTTCCCCAGACCCCGCACAGAGCGGGAGCTCTCTGCACTGGGTACGCCCTTTATCTTTCCAGCAGTTCCCCCTTGTGATCAACAAAGATTTTGCACAAAGTACTTCGTAATGCAGATTAAGCTCCAAATTGCACGAGATTAACATGTATCCCTCTTTTCTATTCTTCGTCATTAGTTATGCAATATCTAGTCTGTACACTAGAAAAGACAGGATGTACGTCACTTATGCTGAATAGTTGATCCTAGAATTCAACACATGTCACATAGTATTCAGATTTGTGCTGGCTACAGCATTGCTCCATTATAGTTTTAAGCAAGGCACATCTTTTGAAGGTTTCCAGCAATGTAACATCAAGAAAGCAAGATTTAGGCCACTTCGCACATAATGCTGTCACCATATTAAGAAAAAATGTTTAATAACTCCTAGCAGCAAGAAAAATAAAAAATGGATACTTAATAAGGTGAAAAAACATGACTAAATGGGCTAGATATGCATATCAAGACATTTTCCTTGCACTGGCTATGTTAATTTGTTGTTTAACTCAAATCATCGCCAGGGAATTATTAGCACAATAAATATGACAGTAAGATGCTCTCCAGAGTTCAAGGCGAAAAAACAAAGCCAAGCAAGGTCAATTGCACATGTTTAAACACGTCCTGCACCTGTATAATGGGATTAGCTTTCAGTACTAGTTACAGTAGGAACACATAGATTTTGTTCTTCTCCAAAGCTTATTATTATTATTATTATTATCTATATGAGGATTTGTGACATCAACCAGGTTAATTTTCATAATAACCCCAATTTGAACAATTATTGATCTCTAATCTCTACTGAACCAAACAATTTGTTGTTTTAACTGCCTAGTAATCACCAATTGACCACTTGTTTAAAATCTTGGATCTACAAGTAGGATTTCAGTTCTGCAAATCTTAGTGACATGATCAATCTTATGCTACAGAAAAAGGTAAACTTGTATATATTGTGTACTGCACCTTATCAGTAGTTATTATGGCGGCATGACTCTATTTCCTTCTCAAGTCGACTGTTGAATTTCAGATCCAACAGTACAACACTCAACTACTATCCGTAACCAAATTTAAAGTATCGGTCATGTTCTGAGTACTTGTAGATGATTGATCACTATCATCCATAAAGGTATCAACATTTGGGCGGACCATACCAGTCCACCTGATTTTGGAAGGTAAATCCGATATGCGATCCTCATCTTCGAAATAGTGCGATGATAAGTGACAGAGCACACTCACAATTATCAAAAGTTTTCGAGTATATCAACAAGGGTGGATCCTTCCAGAAAAGATGCCCACATGCTACTCTAGTCGTAGACTCGGAGTGAACCACAAGCCATACATGTTGACAGCCATATATAGTATAGAATTTCTGTTCCAAGTCCCTAACAGAGCTCTAATTTCCCAAACCCAAAAGTTGCCGTCATGGGGACCGGGCTAGGGGTCCGTGCTGGTACCTTGTAGTTTCTAGAGAGCTTATATATCTCAATTCACCAAAATTAAAGCACAACTGGGAAACCAAGAGCTGCCACAGTGGATTCGTTCCCCAGTTCCCAATAATGAAGGTATGAATTGGAACAGAGCAATCATGAAGGTATGGATTGGAACAGAGCAGTACTGAAATTAGAGCGAACGAGCAAGGGGGTAAGCAGGGGGGGAACTCGAATAAATCACCTTGGGGACGCGGAGAGGAGCACGAGCTTGGTGAAGAGGTCGGGCCTGGAGATGGAGGCGATGGCGCCGATGACCGCGGAGACGGAGTGGCCGACGTAGATGCAGGACTGGACGCCGAGCTCCTGGAGGATGGCGAGGAGGTCGAGCGCGTAGCCCTCGAGCGTGGCGTAGCGAGCGAAGTCGAAGTAGTCCGGGTTGGTGGGGCCGGCGCCCATGGTGTCGAAGAGCACGACGCGGTAGTCGGCGACGAGGTGCGGCACGAGGTGCTTCCAGACGGACTGGTCGGTGCCGAAGCCGTGCGCCAGCACGATGACCCCGCGCTTGCCCTCGCCCACCACGCGCAGGTTGTGCGCCTCCTCCACGATGCCCATGCCGTGTTCCTTTGGGGACGCGCTGGGCGGGACGGGGAGAGGAGAAACCGGGGGAGAGGACTCAGAGGAGGGGGGCAGGCAGGCCCAGAGATACTATGGGGAGCAGAGCAGAGCCGCGGAGGGAGGGAGGGGCAGTGGGAAACGGATGAATGGCGGGCGTTTTAAGGCGGGGGCGTGGACGGGGAATCTGCCGGTCGGGGAGGGGAACGCGCGCGGACCGGACGGACGGACGCCGCTGCCCAGTGCCCGCTGCTGCTGCTGCCAGGGCTTCGACGACGGGGGGACTCGACGTGACGGCGTGGGACGTGGATGGTCGCTGACGGACTGGGTCCATCGGCGGCGGGGGGGTTGGCGGACGGCGGGCGCACCGGATTGCTGTCAGTTGGTAGGTTTCCTCTGTTCGGGCCAGTCCGTGGCTTCCACTGGGACCATTAATTAATTAACAGAAATGGAAGAATGGATGGGTACCGCCTACACACTTAGTAGGGATGAAAACGGTCGGGACGGTCGGAAAAATGTCTTAACCATTTTCGCTTCTGTATTTTTTGGCCGGGAACGGAAACGGGAACGGGAAGGTCGGACGGGAAAACAAATCCGGTATTACGGGATATCGGGAACGTGTCGATTACGATCAGGAAGCGGTAACACAAAATGGGAACATCGATATATGTAACCACTTAAAACAGTGAGCTCAATGCAACAATAGCAACCATGTATAATCCATATGCAAACAGTGCACGTCTCCGTGGCATAGAAATAAAAATTTGCACGGATGACAGATGATAATTGCAAATTAGGCAATTAGCAATTAAAAAAAATTAGAAAATCGTATCATATAGTTTATACTTACCTTGCAGCTGCTTGCACCTTGCACAGTTGCGCTTGCGCCTGCAAATTTGCTTGCTCACAGAGTCGCAGCGAATCAGTGGTCGCTCGGGCTTGGCTGCTTGGTGCTCGCTATTGGCGGCCACGCACGGACGGGCAGCGAACGACGGCAGTATAACACGCATCGCAGCTGCCGCCTCGATGTCCGCTTTGTCGTAGTCCGCCCGCTTCGAATGATGAATTGCTCGCGGGGAACTAGAAGCGACGCCGACGCGAGTAGCGAGGCGCCGCCGCCGATGTTAATTTCCTCGCTGCGACTCCTGTGAGTCGTCTGCGGCCTTAAAAACGGGAATTTCCCGCGGGTACGGGATCCGCTAATTCGGTCGGAAAATCACTCTAACCGATTTCGATCCCCGGATTCGCCGAATTTTCCCGGATTTCTTCCCGAATCCGTTTTTTTTCGAGAAAATGATATCCGGTCGGGAATTCCGGTGTTCGGTGTCGGTCGGTACGGGAATTTCCCGTTCCCGCTTTCATCCCTACACTCCAGTTGCAAATTTACAAATGCGTCCATCAAAAAGTCTGCAATTTGCAAATGCGTGCTCATATGTGGGAGAGCAGGGCAGTGGTTCATTTTTTCCCCATGAAAGAAGAATTATATTAGATAATACTTGGATACATCAACACCTTACAAGCACTCTGGATTACACAAATATCCAGAAAATGATTTTCATCTAAATGGTACCCATGCTGTGAATAGCTCCAGATCTCAAAACCAAACATGTACGACGCTTTACAGTATGGATGACCGCACAGACAAACACTCGGCAAAAAGGCCTGAGAACAAATGCCCAACGAACGACGCCAACTTTCATGTAGGCGGAGTTGAGAAACTTCTTATTTCTGGTGTTGTCCTTCTTCTTTCTGCCACCGAAGAATGAGGAAGACCGATCTGAAACTTAATCTCCCTAGTCCTCCATCGCGGCCAAATCTAACCGCGATAAAACGGAGAAGAGACTGGTGAAAATTATTCTATGACGGCGACACCATCTCCGTCTTGATGTCGTCGTTCGAAAATAAAAGTCTCCATGTCATACTGGTGAGGATGCTGACGCCGTAGTTGTCGCCTTCATCTTCAACAGAGCCGCCATAGAGAAAACGATTCCATCCTACCCTCTCACCGTCGCCGGAGAGGAGGAGAAGATAAATCCCTAAAACCAAAAAACGTGGCACGGAGAGACCCTAACCCTAAGGACTCGATCTACTAGAAAAACTTATTAAAAACGATGGATCCCCACTACCTCTGGCCTCCGGCGATATGAGGGGGAAGGGAGGGGGACCAGCGGTGGTGGAGGCGGGCAGCGACGCTCTGAGCGTGAGACGCGAGACATGGCGGCTACGTCAGGTGTAGTGGACGTCAGGTGTAGTGGTTCATCTGTGAGAACCGGGTCAAGCTGGTTTCGCATATTCCAAACGGAAAACTTTTGAAGAAAAAGGTAAAATCCAAGAAAATAAACTCAAAGGTCCATCGATTTTTGCATATAGCTTGCCTACCTCATAGGGAAGGTATTCCTAAGAGATCTTGTAGAATATTAAGTTTTTTACAAGAACGATCAAAAAGGATGCTTCATGGTGCTCGTGGGGATATAGGTTAAAAGCAAGGCCTAGATATGTTTCTAAGAGATATTTGCATCTAGATTGAGCACGAGAATAAATAGAAACCGACTATCTTAAAGAACTCACTAAGACGTGGACTTGAGATGATGAAAAGAGGGATTTTAGGAAACAATCATGGGAAATTAGGTGCTCTGGTCTAGCCCATCATGTACCCATGTCCATAGGTGTCTCAATATCTAGGTTAAACCCCTACATGTCTAATAAAAACATGGAGGGAGTACTTGGCATCCTTGCTCTTAGCTAACCCTAGGAAATGAAAGGGGGTAGATGGTTATCTTGGGTAGCCACTTCTACTATTTATAGACATATTACGCAATCCAAAGTTTAAAAAAATTACACAATCCAAGAATGTTCCTAGGTTCAAACATGAACCACTTAGCCAACAGGGGCAAAATGGTCCAAGTTGGTCTTCCATGCATCGAATGGCCACGACTCTTCATAAAGTCTCTTCACCTCGACACAATCTATCCAATGACATCACATGTCGCCTCGAGATCTTGCTTGGGTTTTGATGTCCAAACCTGTAAACCACTCCGCTCTCATGGGCCATGTAACCGGTATGAAACTCCTCCAATGTCAACACATGCCCTCTATATCCTCGGTCTGGTGATCCACCAAATGCTTGTGATGCCCCCACCTTAATTTGGTCCATCTATGTCCTTGACTTTGGTCAACAATGCCTTCATCTGAATCTTCATATGCTTTTGCTCGTTCTTGTGTCACGTGCTAGCCATCCTTGGTCTATCCTCCAGCATCTTTGGTCCCTTAGTCTAAGCCTCTACATCTAGTTTTCACCACCAACCACTCGCTTGACCTTCTTCACTGTCGTCGACCACCTTGATGCACTCAACACTTGTACATTCACAATCCAAGAGATATGTTGCGCAACGCACACCAACTCAACACCCTAGTTAGTCTAAATCGTGCTAGAACTAACCCAACCAAAACTCGACCATCTCGCCTTGACGCTCATCATCCATGAGGGCTTGTTTAGCTTCACTCGTATTCACCATAATCCACATGTGTTTAGAGTGGATTAGAGTGAAAATTAGTTAATTTCCCATCTCAATACATGTGGATTGAGATTGATACAACTTACGAATACAGCCAAACAAGGTCTAGCATGGGCACATATCCACCATGTCATCTCACTAGCTCCCTTATGTAATTCCCAGAGCGTGGGCCCAATTAAAGCCATAGATATTCAATTGAGTACCCACTGTTTTTTTTTCAAAAAGTATGTATGTATAGTATATACTATGTAGATTTATTAAACAAAATGAAACAGAATTATAGGCTGCTCTCAAACATTCAATTTAAAATAATCAATCATGCATGCTGAAAACTAGAATTTATTAAACTATATATCAAAAGCGTTTTCTTTTTATCCTTTGAAATTTTGAATACATACCCTTGGGTCTGTTTGGTTTAGCAGTGGGATGTGAAAAAACTGCTGTGAGTTATATGCTATGAAAAAATTGTAGGTTGTTTGGTTAAAATAACAATAAAATCTATCGACATAACTTTATCTTCCTTGAAACAGCTGTAAAATGTCTCTTTCATTCTTTCCACCCATTTGGAAAAGCTAAAAACTGAAAGGTGAAAGGCAGAGCAGGATTCAAGGTGCCCCGAAATTGTAATACGCAAAAGCCAAACGCCCTATCACCATTGCCAGCTGATGTAGACCTTCCTGCTTCAACCCAAGTGTCATGGTGCGTCACCTGTGCTCCATCGATCGACCACCTCATCTTCTAAACTCGTTTACCTATTATTTCGAACTTAGAATCCATATGACATATTTTTTATGGGGAGTATATATGGGTGGCAAGCCTCTACTAATCCATATGTTAATTTCAGCCAAGATAAACCGAGGAGGTTCCCGTTCAGTTGGTGACTTTGGGTCCGGCTGCAAAATTTAATTAGGCCCTCGATGGAATTGCATCATTTTGTTCGTATACCCAGACAAAAAATCACAAACTACTACTACCTCCGTCCCTAAAATTATACAATTCTAACACAGTGTCACATCTTAGTACCTCAAGTTTGACCAATTATAAATAAAAAGTATCCATATTTATGATACAAATAAATACCATCAGATTAATTATGAAATGTATTTTCATAATAAATTAATTTAAAGAAATAAATATGAATATTATTTACTAAAAATTTGGTCAAACGTGAATCATTTTTTGGCATACAACGTATAGTTATATTCTTTTTTTATCGAGGGAAAGATTAGGTGGCCGCGGACAGCCGGACAGGTGCTCAGCCTTTCGTTGTCACTCCCTTGTGCCTGTAAACCAACGGTTGGGACTGCGTGTGATTATTAGCAACGGGGAGACGTACGTATGCTGGGGTGTATGTGGGGCCACGTTGATTTGCGAGTGATGTGTTTGTTTGGGGGTCTTAACGTCTTGACAGCGACTTAATCGATGGTGGTATATCTGTCATCTGTGCAATTCGTACAGCCATCCATTGCAACTCGTTCGATGCAA